AGCACATGGCTCCCTCCTCACTGATTCACAAGTGTACTGCCACCTTGAGCTTTTACCTATGACCTGATGCTACTGGATGAATGAGTGGATATACTTTGCCAGATTTCAAGGATGAGCTTCGTTGATATGCCGAGGATCCTTTGATTCAAATGCTGAACTCCCATGCAAACAGTACATCAAGTTACTGTCCTTTGGAAGAGAATATGCTTTGGTCTCTCCTTTGACAAGCACATCAGGGAGATAAAGTGGGTAGAAGTACTCTAATTTCCCAGAACAAAGAAGGCTCGCACTCCTGCAGCTAGGAAAAGTTATTTTTTGTCCCGCTTGGGTTTCCAGCTCCAAGTCTAAATCTGGAACACACTTTTGTTGGAAGACATGGATCTCCAAGCCAGCCCAGTCTTCTTCCCAATGACGGAGCACCTCACTAGTCACAGTGGGGTGACATCTCTCAACCTTTTTGACCTTCTTGTGCTAAGAAATTTTAGATGTTTTGGCCTATAGTCTCATTCCCCTTTTCCTCTCTTAATGCTCTCAAATTTGCCTTGGGAAGAAGTTGTAGTTTCAGCAGTTCATCTCTCAGGGGTTTATTATCCTAAATGAAGAATGCTTGCAGGGTTTCTATTTGAACCTGTTTGCAGTTTCCAAATAAAATGTAGTGTTTAGGCCCATTATGGATCTGAAAATTCGTCATTTTTCTCTGCGGGTTCAAAAGATTTGCATGGAATTGCAAAGGTTGGTCATTACCTCCCTCCTTTATAAGTGCTTTCTGGCCTTCTTGGACATTAGATTTACTTACTTGCACATTCCATTTTACTTACTTACGATCAATATCTGTGTTTTACTGTGGGTGTTTAGCACTACCAATTTTTTGCACTTCCATTTGTTCTGTCCACAACCCTCCAGATTTTTAGTAAGGTGCTTACCATGGTCCTTAAATGATCTACTGTAACCCGTTATCCCGTTATTCCTAACCATGTCAGACAATCTCCAGTGGACAGTGCAGAGATTTGCTTGGATCCTCAGCCTTTGGAGTTGGAGTTATCAGACTAATATCCAGCTTGTCTGCAGAAACTACCCAGGAGGCATCATAAGAGAGGTAGACTTAGTTTACTTTACATCCAGATCCCAGTCTTGGAAATTTTGTAGGTGGACTTTCTTAGTTATCTTAAAAGTGAGAGACATCAGGGGTTTGTTTATACCCCTGATTAGTCACCAAAGCCCCCTCCCCAATAGCAGTGAGGAAAAAAAGAATTAAAAAATTGTAAAGAAAATAATAAAAAAAAATAAGGGCTCATTCACATGGGTTGCATGGTCTATACAGTGTTAATGAATGGTTTGTGCAAATGGGGCCATCTGTTACTAGCCTTATGTACAGTTGTGACCAAAATTATTCAACCCCCAATGCTGTAAAGGGGTTTAGGGACTATAGTGTACATTTGGAATTGTATTCAGAATCAAATCCTACAAGGACGTTGTAATACCCAAATGCAACTAAAATGACATCAATTGTTTATGTAATACAGTAGTAAATGGTTCTTATGTGGTTTCTTCATTGCCACAATTATTCAACCCCTTAAAGACTACCACTCTGAAGAACAGAGGTTCATACAGGTGCTTTCCATCAGTATTGAAAACACCTGTGGATGTCACCGAGCAGCAATCAAGCATAATAAGCACCAATTAGGCAGCTTTAAAATGACTGTGATACTCAGCTCCTTCTAGACATTTACTGGTGTGGTTACAAACATGGTGAAGTGCAAAGAGAATGGTCCAGGAAGACAAGAGAAGAGGTGATTTCTCTTCACAGGAAGGGCAATGGCTATAAGAAGATTGCAAAGATGTTAAACATACCAAGAGACACCTTAGGAAGCATCATTCGCAAATTCAAGGCAAAGGGCACTGTTGAAAAACGCTACCTGGTCGTGGCAGAAAGAAGATGCTGACTTCGACTGCTGTGCGCTACCTGAAGCGTAGAGTGGAGAGAAGTCCCGTGTGACTGCTGAGGAACTGAGAAAAGATTTGTCAGATGTGGGTACAGAAGTTTCAGCCCAGACAATAAGACGCACACTGCGTAATGAAGGCCTCCGTGCCAGAACTCCCAGGCGTACCCCCTTGCTGTCTCCAAAGAATAAGAAGAGTCGACTGCAGTATGCCAAAAGCCATGTGGACAAACCACAAAAGTTGTGGGATAGTGTTCTGTGGACTGATGAAACAAAATTAGAACTGTTTGGGCCCATGGATCAACGCTATGTTTGGAGGAGGAAAGAACAAGGCCTATGATGAAAAGAACACCTTGCCTACTGTGAAGCATGGTGGAGGGTCAATCATGCTTTGGGGCTGTTTTGCTTCTGCAGGTACAGGGAAGCTTCAGCGTGTGCAAGGTACCATGAATTCTCTTCAGTACCAGGAGATATTGGATGGAACGTGATGCAGTCCGTCACACACCTGAGGCTTGGGAGACGTTGGACCTTTCAACAGGACAATGATCCCAAGCATACCTCCAAGTCCACTAGAGCATGGTTGCAGAGGAAAGGCTGGAACATTTTGGAGTGGCCATCGCAGTCACCAGACTTAAATCCGATTGAGAACCTCTGGTGGGACTTAAAGAAAGCAGTTGCAGTGCGCAAAGCCTAAGAATGTGACTGAACTGGAGGCCTTTGCCCATGAAGAATGGGCGAAGATACCCGTAGATCGCTGCAAGACACTTGTGTCAAGCTATGCTTCACGTTTTTTTAAAAGCTGTTATAACTGTAAAAGGATGCTGTACTAAGTACTAAGATTGAATGTCACTTGGGGGTTGAATAAAAAACTGATAATGCTGTGAGCACAGAAAAGACATTTGTGGTTATTTCATTATAACTGTTATGTTATATTTGTCTGACCTACAAGTGCCTCTTTAATGTAAATGTAAGCAAGATGACTGAATGATCAAAAGCAATGTCAAACTGGCCAAAACACTCAATTTCAGTGGGGGTTGAATAATTTTATCTGCACCAACATGCCTAGCAAATCAGTACCTGCAGCTGTGTTCGTATAACTGTTTACACCCGATAGCGTAACATAGCCTGCCTGCGCACATCTCCAGCCATATAAATAAAAAAAACACTGATTTACATTGTACAGGCCACAGCACCCATGTGAATGAGCCCTAATACCCTATTAAACACACAGAGCATTATTCTGTTTAGCACAATAGAGTTGTATCTTTTTAGATTTAGCAGAAATGTTGTAAGCTATTTGAGCGAGCTTTGTGTTGCAGATCTGCATGATTCTTTAAACGAGCAGACCTGTCCAGAGATGTCAAATGTATGGTCGCCTGGCAACTACTCCATGACACGCACTCACGTTGACTACATAAATACCCCTTGCCACTACGTCCCTCCCTTGCTCTGCACTACACCCTTGCACTCACACTCCAGCCTTTATAAAATATTACCACGCGCTCTGTGTGTGTCGCTGCATACATACTCCTCTGGCTCGCTTCATGCTTACATATAAACGACCCCTGCATTCGCCTGCACTAAACTCCCTGCCTCCCCCCCTCGCCCTAATTTATATTACAACCCTGCAGAGAGACCTACTCCCTGCCAATAACTCTGCACAGTACTCCCACTAGCACTACTCCCCTGCCTCGCCGCCCCAAATTAGCACGGCCTCCCCATCACCACAAATCCCCCAAACCAATCCCCACCCACAAGCATTATGACCTGCAGTATAAGATTCTGCCATGAGATGTCCTTCTCAAGTCGTCTTGGGCTGAACAACAGATTCAGAGAGTCTATCTGGAAGATTGAGGACATCCTGTGAGTTCTCACCTACAACCCCCACCCCCAACACTATATCAACCCCACCAATAATACCATGATGCATCATCGTTCAAAGGGGAGTATCACCATGACATTGCATGACCCATTTGATTATTTTTTTGGGAAATGATAACAACATAATAGCGCAAATATTGACATCGGGGTGGCCTCACGGTAGGACTGTTTATCTAACCTAGATAAATGTAAGATGTGTGTGTGTACCCCATAACTCATCCTATCCCCTCACTCCTATTGAACTGTATTGTTGCTGGTATTGTCTCACGTTACTCACTCTGGTTAAAGCGTGAGCAACTGTTGGTTCCATAAATCCGCGTATAATATTAATAATAACCTCTTCCCGCTGACTGTTCACGCACAATATGCGGCTCTAGGTGGCTGTGCAATATGAAACTCAGCCGCGCTTATTTGCCGTCACACATTTGTAACTACTCAACATACCCACCCCCAGACAAAACATCTACCACGACCTAGCTATCTCCTACGCAATTTGACTGTCAAATCCTCTCACATATATGACATAGCCCATTTACAACCTAAGTCACTCTCACGGATTCCATATTTAGATTCTCCCCTCACACTTCTATATTTCACTGATGTATCAAGAGCTCTTATGGTTTTGGAGTGGAGAGGCTGTTGACTCGTCAGTCAATGTTCTCCCACATTTGCTTCTCCAGAAGACTCTCGTGTGTACGCCTTGGATGGAGATGGGGGCAGGACACAGCTGGCTTGATAGCTTGTTTCTCACATGCTGTGAAGAGGACCCCCAGCCTCTGGATGCTCATCGTGGCTCCGCACGCTCGTGCATGTCCTGACAATATGTGAGAGTCCTATCCAGGCTTGGTGCATAATCAAGTGATATAATGACGGACAATAGTGAGCAGAACAACAGCGCATGAAAAAAATTCGATATGGGACAGGGTCGAAGAGAACCTGTATCCCCGCCAAAAAAACTTTGCACCTCATATTCTCACTTTATGTAGCCATATATACATTTAGAGTGGTGCGCCGCCGACAGAAATGAAAAATTTAGATTAACGACTGATCGGCGCCCTCAAATGTGGGACAATATGTCGCCCTCGCTGTCAGAATCGAATAAATTCGCTGTGAGATTTCAAGCTTAGCAAGGGTGTTTCTACAGGAGGGGGTGCGGGAATGTCTGAGAGACTATACTCTTAATATTAGTGCAGAGTCACTGTACCTTTATTTAAATGTCCTTTGGAAACTTGGAGTCTGCTGGGGAAGAGAACTAAATCACTGTCAGTTCAGTTTATGACATGCAGATGAGTGCCTGTCGATCTTAGAATCACCGCACACTTCACTTCATTTGGGCAGTCACGGGGCCAAAACCAGAGTGTGGAGCCCACAGTGTGGCGGTGGAGGCAGCAGCAGCAATGGGAGGCCATATACAGCAACCCTATGACAAAAATGGAAACCACCAGCAGTGTGAGGAGACCTGAAAGTGGCACATGGCAGAGTGTGGCGATAGAGACAGCAGCAATGGGAGGCCGTACAGGGACCCATGACACACTCTGGACCTGGCAGCAGCATGAGGAGGCGGGTACAGGGGCCCATGGACAGATTACGGGCCTGGCAGCAGCATGAGGAGTCGGTACAGGGGCCCATGGCAGATTACGGGCCTGGCAGCAGCAATGGGAGGCCGTACAGGGACCCATGACACACACTCTGGACCTGGCAGCAGCATGGGGAGGCGGTACAGGGGCCCATGACAGATTACGGGCCTGGCAGCAGCATGAGGAGTCGGTACGGGGGCCCATGACACACTCTGGACCTGGCAGCAGCGATGAGGAGGCGGTACAGGGGGCGCATGACAGATTACGAGCCTGGCAGCAGCAACTTGGACAGGAGGACGTTCAGCTTCTGCACCGTCGGGTGCGTGCTCGCAAACTGTTGTCTCTTGGAAACGGATTCCAAGAAAGACTGCTGACGGAATCCGTGAAGAGGAGTAGCAGGAGAAGGAGCATCTGAACGAGCGGAATATGCCAACAAGCGACAACAGTGGCCCATGACAGATTACGGGCCTGGCAGCAGCATGAGGAGTCGGTACGGGGGCCCATGGCAGATTACGGGCCTGGCAGCAGCTATGGGAGGCCCGTAATCTGCCAGCACCCTATGACAAAAAATGGAACCCACCAGCAGTGTGAGGAGACCTGAAAGTGGCACATGGCAGAGTGTGGCGATGGAGACAGCAGCAATGGGAGGCCGTACAGGGACCCATGAGAGAGACTCTGGACCTGGCAGCAGCATGAGGAGGCGGGTATATAGGGGCCCATGGCAGATTAGGGGCCTGGCAGCAGCTATGGGAGGCCCGTAATCTGCCAGCACCCTATGACAAAAAATGGAACACACCAGCAGTGTGAGGAGACCTGAAAGTGGCACATGGCAGAGTGTGGCGATGGAGGCAGCAGCAATGGGAGGCCGTACAGGGACCCATGAGAGACTCTGGACTTGGCAGCAGCATGCATGAGGAGGCGGTATAGGGGCCCCATGGCAGATTAGGGGCCTGGCAGCAGCTATGGGAGGTGGCCCGTAATCTGCCAGCACCCTATGACAAAAAATGGAAACACACCAGCAGTGTGAGGAGACCTGAAAGTGGCACATGTTTGGGGCATGATTCATGGCGGGATTTAGTCAGTTGTGTCAGGAACTGGTGGTTTGAAATCCAGACTAATCCACGCCTGATTCATTTTCACAAAACGTGAGTCTCTCCACACTTTGGGTGGACAGTCGTGTCCTCCGCGGAGTTGCAATACCTCCTGCCGCACTAAACACGCGCTCCGATGCCACGCTACTGGCCGGGCATGACAGCCTTTTCAAGGGCAAATTCAGCTAGTTGGGGCCAAAGGTCAAGTTTCGTTGCCCAGTAGTCAAGGGGATTGTCTACCCTCGGTTGGCAGGGTGCTGTCCAAGTAGGCCTAAGCCTGTTGTTTGAGGTCCTGCTCCAGGTCCACCTGATGCTGCTGCTGCTGCTGCGGCTGGTTTAGTAGTTTCCTCACTGCGCTGGTGAAGAAAGCTACTAATCATCGACTGCAGACCGGGGGGGGGGGTGAGGCAGCCGCTGCTGGTGGAGCTGCCACTGCTCCTACCCCCCACCCCTCCCCTGCTGCCATGGCAGCGGAACACCGAGCGCACAGGGCCCACAGTGTCTGAGGATGGACGTTGGCCGCAGAATACATGCAGAGACCAGCTGATACATAGGTGTTTTTTCATAGTACGTTATTTTTGGCCCCCTCCCTCTCAGGCAGGTGTGAAAAAAGGCCACCATTTTTGAACGGCTAGAGCGAGGGTCACAACAAGGTGACCAGCCAAAAGTCATCCCTCTGTCTGATGGTTTATTATTTCGGCTGTCGTCTACGCAAGCAAGCCGAGCATGCTATGGGCCATTTGTGCCAAGGAATGCGAGAGGT